CTTGTACTGTAGATCTCTAGAGCTCATTGGCTTGGCATGTTTATTTTGTCCTCTTTTATGGAGAGCACCCATATTTCAATCACACTAACAGGTATCCATCACAAGACGTCATTAGTAAATATGTGACTATTTCATTCATAACACTAGTAGACATTGTAACGAGTAATTCAATGCTTCTGCTTAATAAATGAAATTATGAGAAAACACCCCCAGTCTGACAAACATTGGCTAACAGTATCAGTATGATGACCACTGCTTCACTGTCCCTTGCTACTACGACTAATTTAGATACTAGTCCAATACTTCGATCAATATGATTTTTATAGACTGGACCTGTTAATCACTTAATTTTCATAGGTGCAAGATTATTTTAGAGGTGACTGTTTGAATTTCTGCTTGTTCTGGTGGAGGACCCCGGAAATCTCATCAAGCTCTATACAGACTGGCATCTTTTTGAGTCTATTACTTGAGATCACCATCAAAAGGTACTCTGGATTTCTAAGAGTCTACCTGCTGTCCATGTTTGTCATTTTACAATAGTCCAGATACAGTGTACTTGCCACCTGTTTTCCAGTTCAGGCTGTAGCCTCCCCCTCTTACTTGTACACAGATTTACTAATTACTTGTACACATATTTGAGTGTATGGTATGCAGTGAGGTAGCATATTGTTATAAATCTAGATAGTTTAGCATATTTATATTATGAATATCTGTTGTACCCTATACTATGCACTAAGGCATATTGTCATAAATTAAGAACTTGGGCATGCGTCCTGAATTCCTGACGTTTGGTCATCCTCATCCATTGGTGAGCACTGGCCAAACTGTTTCAGTTCCATTTCTATTCCTAGCTAACAATAACAATTACATAACATATGAACCTCAGTAACTGTGCAGGTATGTCGATCTTACTTCGCTGCTACCACAGTAGTCTATCTCAACATAGCGTAACTGTCTTTCTTTGCAAGAAGGCATTTCTCAGCTAGTAGTAGGTAGATATGTGATGGAGATGACCTTGTGCCTCTTTTCTTAAGCAGTGTGGCCTCCCCTCATATTTGTACTGGTGTCTGGTGGTAGTGGGGTGCTGTTGCTAGTCATCCCTCTGTTAATTTGTATGGCTGCAGTATTATTATCATTGGCCCTGTTCAATGAATGGCTTAGTATGCAGTTGGGATGCTATGAGAATTAAGGTTGTGCTTTTGAGATACTGCTGCTTGATGGATCTGTAATGACAGTGGTGCCTTTTCTATCAGCTTGGTTCAATGGCATTCTAATTGTGATTTTGGCATTGCTTTTTGGATAAGTTCATTTCTATTTATAGGAGTACATGGCATTTTTGGCATACAGATCATGTGAACGCTAGCTGTGATTTTGGGCATCATTTGTAGTATGCAATCTAAAGTACATGTAAGAACTAAGAAGCCTGTGTATGCTATGGGCAGTGCTTTAGTGCTGATGTGAACCTTTTTGTACATGTACTTGAAAGCCAAGCGCGGCTTTGCCGCGCCTTTGTTAGAGAAAACCAGCCCGTGAATTCTAAGTTGTTTTTCAAATATGCTGGCGTGTTGCTTATGTTTAGCCGCGTTCTTTTTGCTAGTCTAGCTAGTTTATTTCTGAATGATCCTAATTACTCAAAGCTTACCTCCTTTAAAAGACTCTTAGAGATGTTCTAACATACCGCAAGATATAGGGAAAGAAAAAAGGAGTAGGAGCAGAGCCAACCATGAAGTGGATGTCAACATATTCAACTCCCAGTTTCATTGCCAACAGAAGCACCATTTCATTGAATAGCTTAAGGATATGGAGCCAAATGTACATAATTATTGGGTACACTACTTATGTAAAATTAGATGACCACAGGTTAAATTAGAAGCAATTAAGAAGTTTATTTGTAAACTCAAAACAAATTGACTAAAACTATAAATTTGATTAGGGCATGCAAGCAATGAATTAATTCTGTTGCTAACTAAGCATGTCTCTAGTAGATATTAAACTCTGAATGAAACAGGACCTTGTTGTCCTGAAGCTGCTACTTAGCTTATAACTCAAACTTGAACCATTTTTACCAACGAACTCTTTAGAGAATACATTGTCAGAACAATAGTTTATTGAACAGATTTGGTCCTCTTGTTTTTAATCATTTAATATAATGTTTTGCTTCCTACAACCTCAACACTTTTAAGTTCAATGAACCAAAAGCCTGAAGTCCTAGGTTAAAGATGTAGACTTTCACAGTTATAGCCAAGTGTGTTTAAGATATTAATATTCATGTTTACTCGCACGGTTATATCTTAAAATTCCAATTAAGCAAGAAACCAAACATTGTATATAGTGTCAATGCTAAAGCAAATAACAGTGCTTCTTTCTACTGCATCTGTGTACAAGTAATATATGCATTTTCAGATTGTGAATGGGTTAACTGAAGAAAGTACTAGCCAGTGAGGGTTTTTTAACTGTAGAAGTTCATCAAGTATTAATAGGTTGACTTGGCAATTATCTTTTGGCCATTGAATATTGCAAGCTTATATGTCATCTGGTATTACTGATCAAAAGAAAATGATTTGGATGTACACCGTTTATTAGTGAGGCCTGAAAGACAATCAAAATAATATATTGTACAAATGGAAAGATGTTTCCTTGAAAGACAATCAAAATAATACTATCATTCCATACAGGCATTCACAACCACATGGCATACAGACAACATTACAAATTTTGTGTCAGAAGTAACGCAGCAATTGAATCTCGTCTCGCTACTACTAGTACAATCAGTAAGGAATAAATGAATTGGGATCTAGAGCTCAAGTGTTCTCTTGCCCAAAACCACGAAATAGAAACGAGTTTGTGGGGAACTCAGAGGATAGGAACACAGGCTCATAGAATCTAGCTCCACTGCTATAGGACGTGGCGCGACTGCTCCCTAAAAGTCAGGTTGCCGGCCTTGCTCGGCTGTCCCAAACTCCCAGCCGTGAAATTGGCAAATCCCCTCTAGTGAGCGCTAAATACAGCGAATAGTAGCTTCATGGTGGGCTAGTGTCTGCGTAGCCAATCACAGATAAGATAAGAGGAGCTATAGCTTAAATTATAATAACGAAATTACAATAGTCAAAATTTAGAGCATATGCCAATACTAATATCATTTGGATAAGATAAGAGGAGCTATAGATAAGATAAGAGGAGCTATAGCTTAAAATATTAAAAGTTTTTAGTTAACTATTACATTTAATGACATAAAGCACAAACATAATGACATAAATGAATAAGATCTCATGGAGACAAACAACATGTTCGCTTGTTGGTTTTAGCCAGGACTTATCAGTCAGCCAATAGTGTTTTCCTCTCACAACAAACCAGCACCAGCCGGGCTTATCAACTCAGAAATCAACTAGCGAACGGGTCGAAACTATATTTAAGTTTTTATATCCGTTGAAAAGGACATTATTAATCATCCTATTATTTTATCATAGTTCCAATCAGTATCTTAACATTTTTTATTGTCTTTGAAATTATCCACACCGTAACCTAAACCACTCACATAGTAAATAGCGGACGATAAATGCACTAGCAACTGCTAAGTTCTCTTTGGTCCGCTACCTTATAGCGGTAGAAGGCAGCTACCAATTCTATTTAGTACTACGTACTATACTACAAGTCTCCAAACTACTACAGTTACATGCTGGAGTGATTCCGTATTATTTTTTTAGATGGAAACCTAAATGGCCAACCCACTATAGATTTATTAAATTAAAGGTATTCAGCTGAATACCTTTAATTTTTTTTCTTTCTATTTTTAATATATATATATATATATATTTATTTATTTATTTATTGGAAAAACAAAAAATAAAATTAAAATGAATACTCTGTGATGAATTCAGCCAAAACATCACTCATTTCACTCTCCCCACCCTACCAGTAGGCGCAGAGGCGGAGGCTGTAGGCGGGCAGCGGACTCCGGTGGGCGGCGGGTTGGCGCATCGTGGCGGGCGGCGTGCGAGCGGGAGGCGCGTCGACCGCGCGAGGCGGCACTACGGCAGGCCGCGGGCGTCAGCCGTCCGCGCGAGGCGGGCCCGCACCTAGCGCGGTACCGCCGTGGCCCGTGGCGCAAGAAGCTGCCACTGCAGAGCGCATATGCTGCTGACCGACGGACCGAGGGGCTACTGGAACTGGAGCTGAGCTACAACCTGTGAAATTCAATTTGTAAGTAAAAATTTGGTCAACTGTGTTCTCAATTCTCCATTCAATATATTACCGATTACAAGCAAAACCACCACCACTGACCATTACTTAGTCTATTTAAATCATTTTCTCTCTATATATATTTCAGATGTTGGAATTTTGATATGCTGAACAATTGATAGTTTGATAAATTGATACTAATATATGTTAGACAACTTTAGGTTATGCTCAATTCTGGGAACGTATGAAAGAATGATTTATTTTGTGTTAAATCCGCTACATATTATACAAGTTTACCTATATGCATGTGGTATTATACATGCCAAATATTAGGCCTAGGTTGTTAAAAAATAATTGACAGTCCTTCACATTTTGAGTACCCAACCTCAAAATCCTTGGTGCGTTAAATGGAGGAAGTAAAAATAGTCACCAAGAATGTTTGTTGGCTTAAAGTTGTCTTGGAGTATTGGACACTGGTTTGACATCAACTGGTGTGCTTTTTGACCTGTGTCAGATATGAATCTTTCAATCACCCTGTTCTATCTTGTCCCAAGAAACATCAACGAAAGAACAACATTTTTCTAGCAGATGTACCTGACTAATTTCAGTTTTCAGTATGCAATATAGTTGTGCAGCATGTAGTTATTAGTTACTGATGATTGCGTTTAACTCCAGTTGCTGCCTATTGTTGGACAGGCCCAGAGTCTTATTAGTTACTGATGATGGATGCCCTGCCGGATGGCGTCCTCGGGCACATCCTTGGCTTCCTGCTAGCTCCGGAGGCCGTGCGGACGTGTGTTCTCGCTCGGCGCTGGCGCCAGCTATGGAGATTCACTACGGGCCTGCGTGTAGGGTGTCGCCATGAGGATGAACAGGCACCGGTGAAAGAGCACCGCGAGTTTTTGGACCATCTGCTCCTCCGCGGAGGCTCGCCTCTTGACTTTTGCGAATTCATATTTACTGAATTCCAGTACGATGATGTGCCGCGGGTGAATCTCTGGTTCCGCCATGTCATCATGTGCAGGGTTCGAGTACTCAAGCTCCACATCTTTTCCATGTGCTATATTGAGCTTGATGACCTGCCTCTCGTTTCTCAGCACCTGACGAGACTGGACCTCCATGGTGTAGTACTCCACAGCAGCTTTCTCAACTTCTCCAGCTGCCCAGCCTTGGAGCATCTAGAGTTGGTTGAGTGTGGTCTCTTGACTGCCAACAAGATCTCGTCCAAGTCCCTAAAGCATCTGAGCTTGACTTGTTGCTTTTTGGATGTATTTTCTCGTGTTTACATTTATACCCCAAGCCTGGTTTCACTGTGTCTAGATGACCTTCAGGGGATGACTCCCATACTTGACATCATGCCCTCATTAGTGAAGGCATTTGTCCGGATAACCGAGGAATGTGAGGATGTCTGTGCAAAACTGTTACACCCAGAAATTTTGGATTGTGTTTGTCAATGGTGTGTCAGTTCTAAGAACACTGATGGCGGCGGCAGTTCTGTGCTCCTAAGAGGTTTATCACAAGCTAAGAGCTTGGTATTGATTTCTAAACTGGACAAGGTAAACGAACACTTTGCCTCAATTACATTATTAATAACTCTATATGTCATCCCCTTATTTCTTCTACATTGTCTACATTATTGCATCTTTTTTCCAGGTTGTTTTCAAAAGTGATTTGAGATGGTGCCCTGTCTTTAACAATCTCAAGGCTTTGTTTCTCAATGACTGTTGGTGTACACCTGATGACTTCAATGCATTAGTTTGTATTCTTGAACACTCACCGTATCTTGAGAAGCTTACACTTGAACTCTTTTGTGAGGTATGTTCTTTATAAATAATGAGCAATTTCTGCAAATGAGAATAGTTACACCGATGAGTGATCTTGGGAAAAATGATTTATTTCACTGCAGGGACCTAAGTATAAAGTTGAAATGAAAGGAAGCATCAATCTGATGGAGCGACCGGCTAAAATTTCAGAACACGTTAACATTGTTGAAGTCAAGTGTCAAGATGTTGATGAGAGAGTTCTCAAAGTGTTGAAGTTCCTTTCTACCTTTAACATATGTAAGCTAACTTGCAACTTTCCTGGTGCTTCTATCTGAAAATTCACTACAAAATTATTGATGAACAAACACCAGAACTGTGTAGACGTACATTTAGCTGGCAGATAGAATCACAAAAGTCTGAACTTTCACATGCAGTTAGTAAACTACATGTCAAACAACCAGTAGACTTTTGTATTCTAATAATAATTCGAAGTTGAAATTGTTGTAGTGTCATAATTAGTAAACTACATGTCAAACATTTAGTAGTTTTTTTTTGTTCTCAGTCAGGTTAATTAAACATATGACAGTTAATTGGATTAGCCAGCAGTTGTTCATGCAGTTTTAAGATTCTGTCAAGTTACTGATTTTCTATTCCTATAGATAACAGGTTTTGGTATTATAATTTTCATACAGGTTTTGGTCTCTTATCTGAGGCACTATGAAATTTGGGCTGTCAAGGGATCTATGAACAAGTTGGCTTGAACAAGTTTGTCATCTCTATGACTATTATATCGGGTGAGTGGGTGTGTTATGTCAGATATAGACTTGTAGTTATATGAATGTCTAACAAATGGCAGCACTAATTGTTCAGAACTTTAAATATCAGTAGTTGGATCAGGCACATCATCGCTGTGATTTCGTTCACACAGAGATCATGAGGGTTTGTTCGACAATTTTGGACCAATTACATTAATCTGCCTTTAGTATGTATATATACTTTGATCTAGAGTTGAGCTGGTAACATGACCTCTTCTCTTGTAGCATAATCAGTTCATATCACTCTGTGTTGTCACTCTGCGTTCAAATGCACATGCCTTAGCAAACTGTAAGAGCATAGCTGCAATTGCGCATGAACCCCAGCACATGGTGAACAGCTGTTGCAGAGACTGAAGTTCCCCTACCCAGTAGTGCAGCATGAGAATAGCAGAGCATGCGAACACAGTCAGAAGACCGGAGGGATGTAATGTGAGGCTCCGCAGGCTCTCTGGCAGCTCGGGAGGACTTCATCTCCAATGACTCGGAGTGTTGTCATGTGTCTGCAGCAGCTCCCACCCGCGTCCAAATCCTAACCCTGTCATCTCATCCCCCATAGCCCAAGCTTGTTCATTCCGGTGACTGAAATTGGAGTAGGAAGAGGACGCCAGCAGGCCCAGCACAGGCATTGGCCTGGCAATTCCCCTGGCAATTGCAGCAGTTGCTCGCTGCTCTCGGACGACTGCAGGTTCTCCAGGGACAAAGGCATGTGTGGCTTGACCTTCAGACGTGCAGTCAGGCAAGCGCTTGGGCCGCGTCATGGGCTCATGGCCAGGGAGGCAGCGCTAAAATTAATCGATATGTTCATCACAAAATTGTCTTATTGCGCTCTAAAGTGAACAAAACGAGAGACTGAAAATATTAGTAATTTTAGTTAGTTGTAGATACTAAATACAAACTTCTAATACCTATATATGTCCTAAGATTTTAGGCCGTGCAGAAACATGGATTGATGAACTAGTTATAATAAATATTAAGAATGTAGTATAAGATTTAGAATCTATATTTTAAAATATGAAAATACAGAAAAAATGTACATAAGCAATAGAGATACACTGAGAAAAAAATGCAGTAACTAATAGGATAAAATTAAGATTTCACAAATCACAACACATGGCTGTAACAAGAGTCAATAACCAAAATTATGATTTCAACTAAACACATACTAAAGATACATGGTGGTGTGGTGTAATGGAATACTATGCATATATTTGGAAAAGGCAAATAGAATAACTGCTAATCAAAGTTTATCATAACTCAGTAGAGATTACATGGTGTCTACATGGGTATTATGTTATAAAGTGATGCACATAGTTGATCAAAGTTTTGCATGGTGAATGCAAGCACTTCCTCCTCACTTGCCAACGAAGCATCAATACCCATTAATATATACACAAGGGATGTGGGCAATGACGTGCCACTCGACCTTATTTCTGTCGTATCGCCTCTTCAGATCAGGGCAGTTATAGATGCCCAATTGTTGTAATGCGGTGAGGTCTTGTATCTGCTCTGGCAAGGATGTGAGGAGTGGGCAGTATGAGATGGATAGCTCTTCCAGGGAGGAGAGGTGGCCCATGGATTGGGGAAGGCAAGTCAGGGCGTCCAAACCGGTAATCTCCAGTATGTGTAGAGACCGGAGCTCTCCCAGGCTTTCAGGCAATAGGCGTAGTTTAGTGCACCATCCTATTAGCAGCCTCTTGAGGGAGATGATGTGGCCCAATGACTGGGGAAGGCTTTCCATGCTTCTGTAGCCACCGATGGTCAATTTGAACGAAGTCGGTCAAACGATGGGGGAAGGCTGTTAACAGTAGGGCAGCGGTGGATGATCATCTCTTGCAGAGAACAGAGTTGATCAACTGATTGAGGAATGCTGCTCAGACTACCGCAGAATGATCATTTGTTGCAGAGAGAGGAGTTGACCCATTGACTGTGGGAGGTTGGTCAAGCTATGGCAGTAGGTAATGCTTAATTTCTGCAAAGACTGGAGTTCCTGAAGCCATTCAGGCAGCATGCCGAGAGCAGAGCATGAGTAGATATTCAGAGACTGGAGGGACGTGAGGCTCCGCATGCTCTCTGGTAGCTCGGTTAGGTCATTGCACTTCGAAATCTCCAAAGACTCAAGTGCTGTCATTTGTTGCAGCAGTACCCACCCACGCCCAGATTGCAATCCAAGGGGTGGTGGTGATCCTGATGATGATATCACCATCTTCCGTAGTGTAAGCTCCTTGAGGTGGCTAAAACTGAATGAAGATGGAAAACTAGAGGATGAAGAGGAGCCTTGGCCTTGGCCTGGCGATTGCATCAGTTGCTCGTTGCTCCCTTCCAATAACAGGCGCTGCAGTGATGATGGGAAGTATGGCTTCACCAACAATTTAGGACATCCCATAATATGGATATCTGATAGGCATGTACCAATTTGCATTTTGCCCATCTCATTACCCAAGTTCATCTCTGTTACCATCCAAACTTCTTCTAATCTGGGCAGTCCGTCCATAACTAACTTCATCAGAGAAGGAAATGGACCTCCATTTACGCTTTCAAGAGAAGTCAGTCGTGACAGTTCAAGATGTTCTAAACAAGGCAACTCCACAAGTCCCTCTAGATGCTTCATGTTTGGGAAATCTGATAGCCTCAACACGACCAAAAATGGGAATTGATGCAGACTTTGTTCTCCCACATCAACTTGCTTCAGCATCCATTGTGCGTATTTCCCACCTGCATATCCAGCAATATGTAGGTTTCTAATACCTGATGGTGGTTCCAGACCATTTAGTACAGCTTGCTCCGTTTGAGCATTCACCTTATCCTCATCATTTGTCCTCCAATCAAGCTCTAGGGTCTGTAAGTTTGCCTTTTGTTTCAAGCATGTCCTGCACGCCTCATCTGGGTCCTTCACATTTGCAATACCTCTGATAATTAGGTTCTCACTAATCATAGCTATGTTTGTGAGCTCAAAAATTTCTGCAGAGTTTTTGCCCTTTCCCACAACAAATGTGTCTAGATTTTGTAGTCTACTGAGTTGTCCAATACCTATCGGCATAGCTCTATAATTATTACATCCTCTTGTGTTTAATACTTGAAGATTCTTCAACTTTCCGATGCCTTCAGGCAACTCTAGAATCCTACAGCACCACCGAAGATCCAAAAGCTCTAGATTTCCTAGTGTCGTGACACTTGATGGAAGCCTCTCAATTTCGGTAGATTGTAGTCTCAACTCTCTTAGCTTTTTATTTCTGCCGATTGAGTTCGGCAACACTGGAATACTCTTGCAATTGGAAAGGTCTAAACTTGAAATCATGTGGCAATCGCCAACAGAATCTGGTAAAGTCATTAGGCTTGCACATCCTGACAAATTTAGTGTTCTCAACTTCTGCAGCTTACCAATGGATTCAGGTAGCTTAAGAAGGTAAAGACAGAATGTTACATGAAGCGCTTGCAGGCTCCAAACATCTGAAATAGCCTCAGGAAGTGTATCAAAATTCCCGTGTGACGTGCTAAGATACCTCAGATTTTTTACGTGCAGTATGGCAGTGGGTACTGATTTTGTATACAAAGATCCCATCGTGATACTGCGCAAGTGCTTTGCATTCTTCAATTGCTTGCCAAATATGATGATACCACTTTCATCAACATATAGAGCACGCGCCTTTCCAAAAATACTTTTAGGCTGAAGATCTCTTGGTTGATTAATCAAAGAAAAGTATCTATAGCTCTTTGAGAGCATGTTTGCCTCCTTTGGCACAACAAGTGAAATTTCATTGCCCAGGATGGATCGCGCAAGATCATGAACCAAATCATGCATCCCACATCTTACTCTTCCAGAAGATTCTTCCACATGTTGTAGAAAAGATACTTGCACAAGAGAATTAAAGAACTTGTGGCCAACATATTCCAAGTTATCAACACTTGGCACATTGATCATATCATGAGCAATCCATTGGTCAATCAATTGTTCTTTATCAAACCAGTAACCTTTTGGAAACAATGCACATAATGTGAAGCATTGCCTCAGATGAGATGGCAAATGGAAATAGCTCAACCTCAAACATGCTGACACCGATATATTTTGTCCTTCACCCTCAACATCGAACAAATTGTTGTCTCTAATGGCCTCCCACTCTCCTATCCACTCCTTGTCATGGAGCACACCTGCTAGAACTTTGATTGCTAGAGGCACTCCTCCACATTTTCTAACAATCTCTTTCCCAACCTCTACAAATTTAGGTTCCAAACCTTTTGCAGTCAGTATTAAGCTTTGTTGGAAGAGTTGCCAGGAATCATCTAGAGATAAGAATGGCAAGTCAAACTGGTCTTTGGATCGTACTGCTTTCGCAACTTTTCTACTACGAGTAGTGAGTAAAATCCCGCTTCCAGGTGTGCCATTCTTCAAATGTACCATGAATTGATCCCAATGAAGTTGGTCCTCTATCCAAACATCATCTAATACAAGTAGATACCTCTTTCCAGTCAATTTATCTGATATTGTTTTGCTCATTTGCTGCATGGGATACCGTTCAGACTTCTCACCAGAAATAGCTTCAAATAGCTTCTCAACAAGTTTTGCAACATCAAACTCTTGTGACACATGAACCCATAGTTTAACATCAAAATGCTTCTTTATAATGTTACCATCATTGAAAACCAGTTTAGCCAAGGTAGTTTTCCCAGAGCCGCCAAGTCCAATGACAGAAACTATACTAACACTATGTTTGTCATTAGCCTGTACTAGTTTGGATATTATCATGTGCTTCTCTTTATCTCTTCCTAGCACTGATTCTGCATCAATGTTGGGCAATGATGGCATCTCCCTGACTGTCAAATTCATATGCTGAATAAGGTGACCAACCGGTAAACTACTTGTTATTGCACTAAAATCATTTCTTTGTTTAACAACTGAAGCAAATTTCTTCTTGATTGCCTTGATCTTGCTAGCAGCCTTGCATTGAAAGATGATTGATTTTGGTTTTGTGAATATATATTTGGACACAATACCACTATCACCACCAATGTCATGTTTTTCGGCCTGTAACTGGAACTCATCAACAATATCATCAACATCATAAGCAATGCCTTTCAATTGTTTGAGCCAATTTAATGATGGGTCATTCCCCACAGCTTTATCTCCTCTTTCCAACCATTTGTTGATCTCCACAATCTGACCATGGAGCTCTTGGAGATCTTCTTTTGCACCCACTATAGAGCTATACTCTTTCATTAGCAGTGGACCTAACTTGTTACTCACAACCTTCAATATTCCAGATGCTACAGCCACTTCCATCCCAGCCATATTGTTAAGGTGCCGCTTTCGCCCAAACCCTGTGTAGTGAAATTAAATTAACAGTCAAAACAACCAAAATTGCATGTGAACAGTGCTGAACAATGGTATATAAGTTTTTTTTAGATTCCAGGTATCTACAAGTTTCAACTTTCAACAGCTTGGCCAGTATAGTGCTTGCTTTTCTGACCAAATTATTTGTTTTTCCTTTACTGCTCTATATTATTATATTATGACTAATGGAGACAGTTATTACATGATAGAATTACAGTAATCAGTAGTCAATGATATTATCTAACTTTACGAGTTTCACTGCTTCTTTTCAAACAGATTTGAGCAGCCTTCTGGTTCCTAACATAACGAGGCAGAAAAGTTGGAATATATTTGTGTGAGGAATCACGGAGCATAATTATGATAGCCCCCTCTCCCCCCTCTCCCCACCCCACACACACAAACCCAAAAAATGCACTAATAACTATTTGTACATGAAGTGAAGGAAAGTGGAACAAACGATAACAAAATGTGAAAGTAGATGAAGGATATAATGATGGTAAGATTAGCATACCACAGTGTCAAGCACTTGAGCATCTTTGTAGTTATATAATTTGTGACATATGAGTATTCAGCCTTCAGTTCAGTACCTGAGAAGTCAAAGGCCAAGTTATTGTCCAAAAGATTACCGTCCAAATCAGAAAGTGTAGAAGCCAGAGTACAAATGGATGAAGGTAGTAGGATCAACGAACAAAACAATATGGTAACATATTCTTGGTTAAAATAACGCACAATACCTGGAGGTCAGACATGCATGCCGGTCCTTCTTGTGCCCTCCTTTCCACCAATGCGAATCAGAGCTTCTTGGAGCTCATATCTGCTGCTTTTACTCGTGCCATCTCTTCCTTTTCTCCTCTGGAATGTATCCGCACCAGAGCTTCTGGAATGTAGATTTGCACAATGGGTGCTTGAGCCTAGCTGGATCTAGATGGCCAGGGATGAGAACACTTGGGTTTGGGAGCTTCTTCTAGCTTGTGCCGCTTCCTAGCGAACTAACCAACTGCAGACCAAGGAGCTTCAACAAGCACACAAGGATTGCAGACTTGGGATGCTGAAGTGCTTCTTTGCCAATAAACTCTATTACCCTTCTTGTTCCTTACATCATAAGGAGCGAAAATAAGCACAGTACAAAATATGAGGCATAGTGCACGAGAGCAACTAAGCAAATATTTAGTGACAGCGAGGCGCCTGTGGTGACTTCGTCAATCTCGAGGATTTGTCGGCTCAGTCTTCGAAAATGCTCATAGGGGTAGGGTTTACATGCGTGTGTTCATAGGAGTAAGTGTGCGTGCATTGTGAGTGTCTGCGTTGTACTATGTAATTCTCAAAAAAAGAGGAAGATGAACATACCATAGCCTCTAGCTCAGAAGAATCAACAGGACAACAATGATCACGTATTGTAGTTATGATGTATAACTTCTGAGGTTCCTGCCTTGAGCAACTGACAATTGCAGTACAATCACCAGTTTTGTTTGCTGAATACAATTGCAAGGAAAGCAGAAAGTGTAGATGTCAATTGTTGGAGAAATAAATGAAGGTTGCATATACCAGGAGATCAGATCTGCTGCATCTGGCTGTGCTACCTGCAATCTCCAAAGGGAATTACTCCTGTCCTCCTATGCACTGTATGCAAATCAGAGCTTTTGAGGCAGAAGGCCTGGGAACTTTGGTGCTTCTGCTGTGACCACGCTTCCTTGTTGTGAAGTCAACCATGCTGACTGCAGAGCTGGAAACGCGTCTTGAGTATAATATTCACCATTTGTAACTTAAAATAGTGCATGGTAGGCGGGGAAATACGTCGAATTCAAAGTCAGAGACGTGTGAAGTTTGTATTGTCGTACAGAGCCGCTGCTGCTGCGGAACTGCAGTTGTTTGGATCCGGAGAAGTTAAAAAGCAGAAGAAAGAAATATTTGAAGATAGAGAACTAAACCAAGCCGTCCAAAAGAGGTGTGTGTGTGTGTGTGTGTGGTGGTGGTGGGGGGGAGGATAGAAAATAAAAAAGAAACAAAATGAAATCCTGACAGCTTGTCACCTGTGAAAATAAAAAAGAAACAAAAATGAAATCCTGACAGCTTGTCACCTGTGCTGTGCCACATTTCGCCGAACAGGTTGTGCGTGCACGGTGCCTACTGTCGCCGCGCCAAACCCTTTTGTCGATCGCCGATGCTTACAACGCTCAGCCGTCACCACTGCATCGCTCGCTGGCGCACCAACAAAGGCCACACCACCCTTGCTCGATGTGCCAGACTGCCAGTGCCACCCCGTGCAGGCGTTGGGGCCGCGCCATGTCCAAAGGAGATAATTGAGATGCGGTTTGAAGCCTTCCATGGTATATTTGGCACCAACACCCTCAATAAACTCGAAGAGGTGCATATCAGAGTTAATGATCATGCTGATGGAATGACCAGGAGCTTTATAGATGATTTGAAGAACAATGAGAGAGTGAGGGTAATCGTTGATTACATCGTCACTGCTTGACATGGCAGGATATTGCTTCCTGCCAGAGCATTTAGCTGTCTTCTGGCACTGCTATTCTATTATGATTTTTTATTACCATATAGGCATATATTAATTGGGATGGACAAGCACTACTATTGGTTGTTATTCCTTTGTGTTACTGTCATGTTTCGTCACAGCTTGTACTGAAGAGAGGATCGCTTGTACTGAAGAGAGGATCATGTAAGAACTATTGCAGTCCTTTTCCTTTTGTATATTCATGTTTTGGTCTGTAACTCTTGTACTCGCTCTGCTCCAAATTATAAAATATTTTGGCTTTTCTAAATACATTGATTTTACTATACATCTAGACATAGTGTATATGTAACTGCATGCAATGTATTGACAACATGCCTCTGACCGTGCGAGGTAAGCTGAGTTTTATGCTCTTTACTACGATTATTAGTTGCACAAAACAGATTCACTGCCTGACCTGCCTGGCCGGGTCCAAACCAGCGCCAGTACTTGCTAGCCGATCGAAAATTGCTGTACTCGGAAATAGACATCTGTGGCGACTCCAGATCTTATTAGGCAGAGCCACACCATGCATCAGGAATGAAGCAACGCAAGGGTTGCATTCTGTGACAATGATACGTATAAACTTAATAATGGCGTTTGGTTTCCTGGCAGGTAACGTAAGTAGTCATGGCAATAGATGACGGGGGACTAGCGAGAGGATCTCTGATCCCTTGATCTGTGAATATGAATAGATCGCTATCTGATTCCACGGTATCGCTGAGCCGAACCAAACACCTGTATCACGTCTATCTGATTCCGCCAGTAATGAGAGAAGGGTACTACTGCACATTGCGATTGCTAGCCACAAATTAGTATACCTCCAACAGTCTCAAAGACTGGGCACATCAAATCACGGTACAGACATCAGAGCGAGAACGTTTTAAAATTGCAAATGGCAAGGATGAACAAGTTACACAATGTCAAGAAAGTAATGATCGCCTTATTCGTTTAGACTGGTTTAGCCGTTGACTGGTTTGGTGTAAGAAAAAAATACTGTTTGTTGACTGATAAGCGATAGCTTATAAGCCAAATACGACCTAGCGAACAAGCTGAGGATGTACCTCACCATCAAACCAAGAGCACTGAAAATCATTAGTCCAAAACAACAACGATGACAACAAAATAAAGTCACTAAAATCCTAAACCCTAGATTATACCCAATGAGTAACAGCAACGCGACGGTACAAGCATAAAACTAAGTTTTTGGTTACGAACACTGCAGTAGGGGCTATGAGCACACAAAGGACCATCAGACAATTATTGCTCTGTGACATACTCCCTCCATTCCAAATTGTAAATTGGTGTGCCTTTTTAGATACAATAGCTTTTACTACATTCCTAGATATGACTATGTAAAGACTTACAATTTGGAACATTGGAAGTAAACAGCAAACAAACAAGTACAATTCAACAGAGCACTCTCTAGCGCTAGAGCTATTGGGGATTTTATTGGGCCTGTTGCAAACAAGCTCCCTCTTTAAATCAAACAATCACCTGTCCAATCTATACCACAATACTACTATGGCAAGTGACAGTATTTTTCTCTCCAAACACTGTATTAGGAATATGAATAACGTCCCTTAAAACAAGATGCTCCATATACTAACAATAGAGCCATTCCAGTCACAACTATAACAGCAGCTCCTACTTACAAATAATCATAGCAGAAGTACCACGGGGGGAGGGGGTAGCCAAAGTGTTTGATAAAAAGGAACTACACTAATCATGAAAGCAAGCAACTCAAGTTGATTGGAAGGAGCATATTGGCAGATTCACTATACTAGATGGGTTAATCAATAAATAAAATTGGCTAGATAGAAATGAGGATTTGCCACTCCATTGTCACACTGACTTGTGTACATGGCCAACATTTGAAATATCTCTAAAATTACAGTGAATAGATGACAAATCATCCGAAATTGAAAGAATTCATTTGTAGTTCACTTCAGTGTGTAGGATATAGAAAACACATGCACAATTTATTCCCTAGTGCGTTTGAGCATCTGCTAGTTAATTAAGATCACTTCAACCTACAAAGATACTAAAATCCCATGTGCCAGTATCTAACATGTGCCAGTATCTAACAGCACTAATGCAATCACTACTTTCATAGTCATGCAATCCATTCAACTAAGCATAAACAGACAGAAACTAGCACAAGTGACTAAACACAAAATGGATACCAATACAAATTGAAAGGCAAATCATGTGCTACATATAACACTAGATATATAAGATAACAAGCAAAACATACTTCAGAGACTAATTAATAGTCTTCAAAATCTCCTCACATTTGATACCACAATGCCAGTCTAAAACATTAAGGTAAAGCAGAAGCTAGATATAGATAAGCAGCTCCATGGACAGGAAATGAGGCCACGAACAACCAGAACGACCTTGCAAATTTGCGGTCCGGCAAGCAATCGCTCAACGGTAAGACTTCTGG